AATAGCAGGGGTCTAAGAGGTCAAAGCAGGATCAAACTGCAAGAGCCATACTTAGCCAGTGTGATTTATTAACAAAGCATCCAGAAGGTGGCATTGTCAATTCTTATAAACAAAAAAAGCTGGTCTCTGTGTGGAAGTTGCCCTAATTTTAAAGCTAAAATGTATGAAGAGGCTAAAACATACAAAGAATGGTTGCAGGAACCATTAATGAAGAGAAGGACCAGGGGTGACATGATGGCAGGGCTCCAATATCTGAGGGGCTGCCACAATGAGGAAGGGGTCAAACTATTCTCCAAAGCACCTGAAGAAGAAGCAATGGATGGAACCTAATCAAGGAGAGAAGCAACCTAGAACTAAGGAGGAATTATGGCACGGGGTCTCCAGCTTGAGAAGGGGCCTGGACTAGAAGACTGTGTTATTCTGTTATAAATAATGGAGGGGGGGGGATTCTGTTATTGAACATAAAAGTTATTGGAACAGTTTCATAGTGTTATAACCATCAACTCCATTTAAAGACCCCTTATATACTACCACTTGTTAAAATAATAAAAGTACTTCCTTTCTCATCTATCTATCCATCCATCCTTCCTTCCCTTCCTTACTCTCTCCCTTTCTCTTACTTATTTTTCCTTCCTTCCTTCCTTCCTTCCTTTCCCTTTATTTATTGATTTTTCCTTCCTTCCTTCCTTCCTTTTCTCTATTTATTTATTTTTCCTTCCTTCCTTCCTTCCTCTCCCTTTCTCTATTGATTTTTCCTCCCTTCCTCCCTCCCTCCCTCTCTCCCTCCTTCCCTTCCCATTATTTCTCAATCTAGAAACGCCAGTGATAGAACCAAAATATTTTAATATATTTTATATTACTGATTTTTTCCTAGAAACATCATTAAAAGATACAAATGAATAGATCAATGTAAATACTTGAGTCATGTTTACAAAGTACTTTGTAAGATTACTGCCAAAGGTAACATTTGCTAATATAAGATGTCAGTAGGTAGAACTAGCTCTATTGCACAAATGTGATTTCTTTTTCTCTTCTAGGGCTCAGCATGGGTTATGCACCGTATTCATTCTAAAAGACACACAAACCACATTTATTGAATCTAACACTAATTTTGGGTACAAAGGCACACAAGAGAGATCAGTTCTCCGGGGAAATAGCATTATTATAGGAAATTAGTATTCTCTATTCCCAGTTTATCTTGATTTAAAAGGATAGTTCATGTCTTTATTTGGATAGTAACTATTAGCAGAACTATTAAGCATCTTATGATTAAGAATTTTAATACAGCTATTACTGAAAGTGTATATCAACAGATGCAGTAGCTTTTAATGTACTGCAAATATGTGGAGTTGGTATTTATTTAATTTGCATGGAAATTAATTAACATGCAATAACGTTTTATGAAGCCTAAACAGACATCTAAGAGAGAAGCTGTCCAGATGACACGAGATTAAACAAGCGGCTGTTTCATCATATTCCAGAGAAGATCACCCAAGCACAAGGGCAAGAATCCAAATTCAAGGATCTTCTGTCTTAAACCCTGTGATGATATTTTGCATAATGCGAGTGCAGTACATAAGCCATGATCAAAGGAAAGTAGTACTTTGAAACCTGACTCGCTTCCCCCAAGATTAACACTTATGAAGGCAGGAGGAATTCTGCTCTTAAAGCTGCTAATGAACCCAACCTTAAAATCCTGCATCCTGTAAATTGGACATCTCAGAAAAGGTGTTTTCAGTCACAGCCCAGGAATTAGAATATTAAGGATTAATGGCCAAGTTCAACAGGACTCTTGATGGGACACCGGATGGGTGAATGGATGGGTGAGTGGATGGATGAGTAGATGGATAGATGGATAGATGGATGGATGAGTAGATGGATGGATAGATGGATGGGTGAATGGATGGATGGATGAATGGATGGATGGATGGAAGGATGGATGGGTGGGTGGGTGAGTGGATGGGTGAATGAGTGGGTGGATGTTGATTTCCAGATCTAGATGAAAATCCAGTTTTGTACTTGATGGAGAACGGAAAAAATATCAATGGGGCTCCTTCACCCTTTTGCTTCTAACCATTTTTTAATTTGGCTTTTCTAGCCCAGGTGCTCTTAAGAGCTAAAATCAAGGAAATCGTAGCTTTGGAGTTATCAGCTGTCATTCCAAAATGGAGGCACTGCGTTCGCTTTCCAATACTTCACAACCAGCGACAGCATGGCTGGCAATTGAAGGAAAAAGAACTGTGCTTCTGGCATGCTGATGATCTGGTAATGGACACATTTAGTTGCTAGCCCAACAGCTGGCTTGTGGCTATGCAGCTAATGGACCAAAGAGAGAGAGAAATGCTCCTGAAGGAAAGCCACATGGGGCCTGTAATGCATGGCGAGACCCTTCAAGCTATGGAAAAGGCTTGCAAATCCCATGTCATCTTCAGGACCTGTTCAGGCCTTAATAAAAGGTTTTCTTGAAAAACTGTCTCGTACATCATGGTACGATTTGCATAGTTCTTCATTCAGGACATTTGGCCATTAAGGTCCAAGAAAGTTCTTGTTTAAATGTGTGGTGACTCCCCAGATACCTCTCCAGATGTCAGCTCGGAGGAGGATGAGCCAATCCCAGGCACACCTGAAGGGGAATTGGTCAATAGCTCTGAGCAGGGATTTGGCTGAAGCGCAGCTGCAGCAGGACAGCCCGGAGGCTTCAGTGGGGAAAACACACAACTGCAGCCAGTCAGAGATGACGAAGAGGAACCGCCTTCCACGCCTGATCCAAGAACACGTAGGGCAGAGAAAAGGCAGGCACAGAGAAGGACAGCCAGATTACTCATAAGGAGGCAGCGTCGCCCTTCTTGATGGGCTTCACCAGAAGCTGGCTGTGTAGCCCAGCAGACAGATGGAGGCGATGCTGGGAACAAGGTGTTCGTTTCCTAGCTGTGTGTTTTTTGATCATTGTGATTCCTGTCTCGCTTTGGATTGACATTGTGCCTTGGCTTGTGAACTCTGGACTTTTCTTGCCTCTAGGTTGTGGATTTTATTTTGCCTGGTGATTTTATCTTGTTTGGGGAACTTTCAAGTGCCTTGTGGACTCGTTGGCCATTGCTCCGTTGACTGGCATCGGTCTGCTTGTGGCTAGACTTAACTGGGACAGTTCTGGGTTTTTGGTGAAGGGAACTGCAGGGGAATATTAATAAAACCACCAAACCATGCTTGTGTGTGTGTGAGAGAGAGAGAGGGGGAGGGAGGGAGGGAGGGAGAGAGAGAGAGAGAGAGAGAGAGAGAGAGGGATAGCATAAATTGTTAATTTTATCCACCAATGGAAATTCAGCCCATTTAGGAAAACCAAATCAGTTTTCATATTCTTCTAGCGATAAGCAAAATGAAATAAAAACAACTTTTGTATTAGCAGTTGGTCCTTTGAGCATAAAAACTGACTTTAGGAAAACTGTTTATTGTGGCAACTGTGTGAGCTAATACAGAGAGGTGCTTTCTTCCCATTTTATTTAAGAGTTATGTTTATTACTTTATTCATGCTGGGAGATAAGGACCGAGGTGCCACGTTACCTCATCCCACTGATAAAGAGACCGTTTGAACCAGGGGAAACGGTTCAAAATGGCAATTGCGCAGTAGAAAATACGTGCATTTTTACACAATGGCCACATGTGTTATCTAAGCGGATGTAAATTTAAAGGTTCTATAAAAAGCATCTCTTCTCGTGCTGAATGGATCGTCCTGTCATTTAGCCATTCAGTAAAATTCAAAAGGACGGTCCATTTAAGTGCCATCGTTCCCAGGAAGATTCCTTTTAAACTGAGCCGGAGATAAGCTGCGATTTTCTCCACTCTGCAAGCATTTTTCAAGCAGAGCCGCAAACTAATTGCAATTTAAGATTGAAAAACTACCTTTCTCTCTGCAACCACGCTGGCTTGACCGACGCTTCGGTCAGCATCCCCCAAGAGTAAGTTGCCTCTCTAAGGCAGGGCTCTTCCACCGTGGCCCTTTTATGACTTGTGGACTTCAGCTCCCAGAATAGAATAGAACAGAATACCAAGATAGAATAGACTATAGAATAGAATATAGAAGGGGAATAGAATATAGAAGAGGAATAGAATAGAATAGAATAGAATAGAATAGAATAGAATAGAATAGAATAGAATATAGAAGGGGAATAGAATACAGAAGAGGAGTAGAATAGAAGAGGAATAGAATGTAATAAGAATAGAACAGAATAGAATAGAAATATGAAAATAGAATAGAATAGGAATAGAACAGAATAGGAATAGAATAGAATGGAACAAGAATAGAATAGAATAATGAAAATAGAATAGAATAGAATAGAACAGAACAGAACAGCAATAGAATATAGAACAGAACAGGAATAGGAACAGGAATAGAATAGAAGAGGAATAGAAGAGAAGAGGAATAGAATGGAATAATGGAATGGAATATAGACTAGATTAGGCTGGCAGAGTTGGAAGGGACCTTGGAGGTCCTCTAGTCCAGCCCCTTGCTCAGGCTATACCATTTCAGACAGGTGGCTGTCCAGTCTCTTCTTAAAAACCTCCAGTGATGGAGCACCCACAGCTTCTGGAGGCGGGTCGTTCCCCTGGCTAATTGCTCTGACTGTGAAGAAGTTCCTCCTTGACCAGTTCCCCCCCCCCCCGCTGCTTCTCGTCCTCCTGCTTTCTGGGGCTTTGCAGAAGAGCCTTTTTCGCGCCGACACCCCCTGCACGACGCCCGGCCCGCCCTGCGCGAAACTCCCGCCCGCAATTAGCAAACAAACAAACAACCGGAATGGAACCGGAGCGCCGAAGAGAGCCGCGCGCATGCGCCGAGCCGGGAAGAGGGGGGCGGGGCCGCGGAGCGCCGCGCATGCGCGCCTCCTCAGCCAGCCAGCCAGCAGGCAAGCAGGCAGGCAGACGAGGGTCGCTTCGGCCGGCCTGGATGGCGGCCGTTACCGGCGGCGTGGGGCGGCGGCGGCGGCGGCGGAGGCGCTCGGGCTTACCTTGAAGGGCGGCGATGGGGCTGCAGCTGCTCCTCCTCCTCGTCCTCCCGGCGCTGGTGGAGGGCGGCGTGGCGGGGCTGCCCGCCGGGTGCAAGCAGGACGGCGGCGGCGGCGGCGGCGGGGGTCGCCCGCGGGGCAGCAAGGCCCCTCCGCCGGCCGGGGTCTCCTCCGGGGAGAAGGTGGTGTGCAGCAGCCTGGCGCTGGCCCACGTCCTGCCGCCCGGCGCGCTGCCCGAGAGGACCGTCAGCCTGTGAGTAGCCGCGCCGCGGGGGGGGAGAGGAGGAGGGGGCGGCCCGGGCACAGTGCGCATGCGCCCCCCGCGCGGGAGGCCTCCCCCCGCCCCCTCCCGTCCCACCTTTGTCCTCGCGCGGCGCCCCTCGGCTCCCTCCCGGCAGGCGGTCCTCGACTTGCGGCCGTTCGCTTAGTGACCGTTCGGGGCGGCGGGTGCCTTTCTGGGCCTGGTAGGGTAGACTGCACTGTGGACAGCGCTTCAATTCGTTGTGAGATACACAACGACAATAAAGGTATTCTGTTCTCTTCTTTCTGGGCCCAGGTGCCCCTTTGGCTGCCTCCTTTCAGGCGCTCCTCGCTTAGTGACCATTCATTGCCAGTCAGCCCAGGAGCTTTCTTTCTGGGCCTGGTTCCCCCCCTTGGTTCCCTCCTTTCAGGCGTTCCTCGCTTAGTGACCGTTCAGTGCCAGTCAGCCCAATAGGTTCCTTTCTGGGTCTGGTTCCCTCCTTTCAGGCGTTCCTCGCTTAGTGACCGTTCAGTGCCAGTCAGCCCAGTAGGTTCCTTTCTGGGTCTGGTTTCCCCCTTGGTTCCCTCCTTTCAGGCGGTCCTCACTTAGTGACCATTCAGTGCCAGTCAGCCCAGGAGGTTTCTTTCTGAGTCTGGTTCCCCCTCCCTGCAGGTGCTCCTCGACTTAATGGCTGTTCGCTTAGTGACCGTTCCAAGTTTCACACCGTCTCTGAAAAAATGGACTTACGGCCAGGTTGCTTCCCTCCAGCAGTTTGTTTAGTGATCATTCAGTGGGATCCTTTCTGGGCCCGGGCTCCTCTCTTGACTCCCTCCCTGCATTGCGGTTCTCGACTTACAGTGCTTCGCTTAGTGACCGTTCTGAGTTTCACACCAGCTCCTAAGAGGAGGGGGCCGGGGAGGTGGGCTCCTTGCTGGGCCTGGGTCCCCCTGGGCTCCTTTCCTTGCCAGGGCTGGGATGGGGTTGGCTTTGCAGACTGGAGCTCTTGCGCTTCTCGTTACTCTTCGTAGTAGTGTGGCTTCCTGGAGTTATGACGGCGCTTTGTCCCGATTGCCCCCCCCCCCCTTGCAGGCACTCCTCGACTTAAGCAGCAGTGGTTCTTTTACTGGCCATTCCAAGTTGCAACGGGTGACTTGGGACCGTTTTCCACACTTAACGGCCGCTGCAGCATCCCGTGATCAAAATTCAGGATGCTTGGTAACTGGCAGGCACAGGTATCTGTGGATTCGGCTTCCCCCCCCCCCCGCTCCCCAGGCTGTGGGTGCTCCATCACGGGAGGCTTTGAAGAAAGGTCTGGACGGCCACTGATCTCAAACGGCATAGGGTCTCCTGCTTGAGCAGGGGGTTGGACTAGAGGACCTCCAAGGCCCCTTCCAGCTCTGTTATTCTGTGGGCTGGAAGGGAGCCGATTCCTGCTCTCTCCTTCACCGATTTATGCCCATTGGGCCCTCTGCAAAGGCTCTTGCTGTCTCCCCTGCTGCTATTAATCTGCTGCTATTTGATGCCCTTTTATACCCAATTTTATCCGTATAAAACGGCAGGGCAACAGTGGATACATTTTTTTTTTTTTTACTAATACAGGTAGTCCTCAACGTATGGCCACCCCGAGCCCAGAATTTCTGCAGCAGCCCTGTGAAAAATGTTCCTAAGTCAGTTTTTCCACTGGTGTTGTAAGTTTGAGCGGTCGCTAAATGAACCATTGAAAGTGGCGGTACTTTGGATTCCTTTCCTGGCTGGATGCCCAATGTGACCCTTTGCCAAGGAGGCAAACAGCTCTGGCTCTCCTGCCTGCCCGATCACTGCCATTATTACAGGTAGTCCTCGTTTTACGACCACCGTTCTGTTCAAAATTTCTCCTGCTAAGCAAGACACTTGTTAAGCGAGTTTTGCCTTATTTTGTGACCCTTCTTGCCACACTTCATGACTTTTCTTTGTTAAGTGAATCACTGTGCTTAAGTTAACACGGTGGTTAAGTGATTCAGGATTCCCAAAATCTGAGCCAGTTGTCAAAACATCTAAATCTCAGGGATGCGAAAACAGTCACGAGTCCCATTTTTCGGTGCCATTGTCACTTTGAACGGTCACTAAACAAATTCCTGTAAACCGAGGACTAGCTGCACTTGATTTGTTTATTCAGCCTACATGCAGTCTTTGTCCTTTACCAAGAAGGCAGGGCTACTACGATTACGATGCCGGCTTTTGTTATGTTTACCACCGGTGGGAGTAGTACTATCGCCTTCCATTTCTTCGCTTTACAAGCTCGCCTTCCTTTTTTGCCAAGCACCCCAGAAGCAGGGGTGTGCAGTGACCTAATTATTGCTGTGACTGTTGCTGCTTTGTTCACTTACTTGGTTTTTTTCCTTGTCTTTTCTCCTCTGGCAGGTACCGAGAAAAGCTGTCCTAATTATTGTAATTAAATTTTGTCATCACCAGTGCTACTACTATTACTTGGTTTATTTACAGTAATTGCGATTGCCGTCCTTGGTATTTCCCACATTCAGTGCAAATATTCAAACTTGGGACATACCACTTCTGACTGAAGTGCGAGGCAGACTCAGATCTGTTTCTGGTTAGGTTGAAGGCACTTCTGGAAGATGACATTAAAATGTTGTTTTTATTGTGGAGATTATATATTAATGGCTGCTGGGTTTTTGTGCTGGGTTGGAAGACTTTACTACGTTTTAATCGTATTATATATCATTTTTTGTATTGGGGACCATCAAGAATCCTCTGGGATAGCAGTTGTATATAAATATAAATAAGGATTGTAATATGAATCCTTCATACTGGTATAGTTTCTTTGGCCCAGGACCAAATATTCAAATAAAACTTCTGTTTTGTTTCAGTTGTGTGCCACCCACATTCTACTATACCATTGTACAATAATTCTCTTCCCTTGTCTAACATCCCGTTCTGCTTTTTTTTTAAAAAAAAAACAACACTTTAGTGCTAGATAGACAAACTCTCTTGTTTTACTAAAATGTTAACCTATTCAAAAAGACTACTATCAGAATTGAGAAATAATGAAATTACTTACGAATGCATAAAACTTCATAAAACCTTAAGATTAAACAAACATTAATCTTAATATTTAAGAATTTTTAAGAAGTAAGCCTCGCAGAAAAAGGGGGAAGCGGGAATTATAGTTGCCTGTTCTTCTCCATTATTGTTAGCCGGTAATAAAAACCGTCCTATATGCATTTGACTTGCTTTTCAATGTAACCTTTATTTAATTTCCCACATGGCTGAAAAAGTTTGAAGCAGTTATGTGCCGGGGCAGTTTATCTGCCTTATCAAAAGGAAGGAAGTAGACCTAATATTGTGGAGAACAAGAAGGCATCATTTGTATAGACCTGGCTTTATGATCGCACTGGTAGTCCTTGAAACAAGAGCTGCCAGTTAATTTATATTAAATTTGGGCATTTGTAATTTCCAAGTTAACATAGCTAAGTGTCGTCATCCCTTGGACCTTGGTCCAACTCCAAAGCAAAATTTACAGAGATTTATACAAAGGTGGCCAGTTCATAGAAGAATGATAGATTAGATAAGATATCGGACAAATTGGGGACAAATTGTTAGGGCAAAATTGGGGCCATCAGGGAGAAGGTGGATGTCGGAGGCTTCGTTAGAGAGATTGAAGGTCAAAGGCAAGTGCAGAATTGAACGGAAGCAGAAATGTCAGGTTCAAGAAAGGACGACAGCTAGTCTTCCACGGACAAACGATCACTTTAATGACTGTCCCAAATTGCGAAGGACGCCCTCCCCCCCCCCCACACACCGAAAGGCTACTTGTGACTTTTTTTTCAAAGTTACCTCAGCCACACACTTGGCAATCCCATTTTGCGCACTGGGCAGCTGACTCAGTTTTTCCGGACACCTGACGGTGATTTGTGACAGTTTTTGTTTGACAAGTTCCGGCATTTACTTCTGGATTCCAGCGAAAGAAAGAAAGAAAGAAAGAAAGAAAGAAAGAAAGAAAGAAAGAAAGAAAGAAAGAAAGAAAGACCCCTCCCCTTGGAGAAAATGGACTTACTTAACGGCCAGGTTTGGCTTAACTATGGCTGCAAAACGTGTCAAAAATCAAATCTGGTCACACGGCGCCTCGACTTACAACCGCAATTGTGGCTGTATGTCGAGGACTGTCTACAGGTATTTGAAGGGCCTGAAGCAAGTACAGCTCCAAACTGCAAACCTCACCATCTGTAGCCTGAGGAATCTCCACCTTGGAGATAGGTGAGCCGCTGGGAAAGGTTGATGGGCTTGTCTACCATTCCAGCATTTTTCTGCAGGTAGAACTGAAATCCGGAGAAGTGCCCTTGAGCTTAAAACGTCTGTCGCTGAGCAAGACAGTGAAGTGAGTTTCGCCCCATTTTACGACCTTTGGGGCCACCGTTGTTCAGTGAACCCCTGCAGTTGTTCAATTAAGTCACACGGTTGTTAAGTGAATCTGGCTTCCCCGTTGACTTCGTCACAAAAGGGGATCGCGTGACCCCAGGGGACGCTGCAACCCATCGTAAATGTGAGCCAGTTGCCAAATATCTGGGTTTTGATTGCGTGACCCTGGGGATGATGCAGCGGTTGTTAAGTGTGTGAAAAACGGTCAGAAGTCACCTTTTTTTTCAGTGACATAACTTTGGGCGGTCACTAAACAAAGGGTTGTAATTTGAGGGCGAGCTGTAACTTTTTTTTGTTGCAAAGTAGGCACTTGATGGCATAACAACAACAACTTTATTGTCACTTTGAATGTACACCAATTGGCATACATCAAAATGAAATTTTGTATCTGCAGTTTACTGGCTCACTGCAGAATAAAAAAAAAGGAAACTTTAAAAAAGCTATTTTTCTATTCCACTGGAGCTATGGATACAACATAACTACTA